CAAAATTTTGCCAGTAGGTTCCCCGACCAAGTACCACCCCAGGACCGCGGTGCCGTCCCTCATGCACTTCTAGCTTCCGCGTATGAGCCCCTCAAAGTATCAGCGGGAAAATCGCTGAATCTGGAGCCAGAAAAGCTAGAGAGCTGAATCCTTTCAGTTATGTTCCCCCCGCCCCGCCCTCCCCGTTCACATAGAACAATAAGATTTCAGATTCAGCCTTCAGACATGCGTGGTTCTCACGTATGGTCTCGTGAAGGTTTCTGGCGAGAAAATCGCTAATTTGGGACCCAGGAAAGCTAGAAAGCTGGAATTTTAAGGGGATGTTCCCAGTCCATACACAAATTAAATTTATCAGGTTCAGCCCCGGGCATGCGTGGCTGTCACGTACGGCTCCGTGAAAGTTTTCGACGGAAATATGGGTAGCTCGGGGACTGGGAGTGCTAAGACCTGAGATTTCAAGGGAATGTTCTCTGTACAAGTACAGCGTAGATAACTTGCTTCCCGAAATTCGAGGACCAGTATGTCACACATTTCTAGCTGCTGGTTTTTCGAGCGACCTCACTACAGCACGAAACACTGCAAAAACGCATGGTCGCACAGGCTTGCCCAATGCGCGTTGCCAATGATTTTAATTTGTTTTCCGAAGCAAACCTTCCATTTCCAGAAGTCGTTTACTGCCACTGTGGTTGGACAGTAATATGCATGTGCATGTACTGCGTCGCCTCCGAAAAGCAGCGTTGTTATTTTACTTTCATTCCTGAAACACAATGCTGCAGATTTGTGTAAGTGCGGCACAATAAAACTCGTCACTTAATAGCTGTTTCTTTAATATCATAGTATAAGTTTTGCCATCCCATCTGCCACGAATGAATGCCTTTTTGTAAGGAAAATGCAGTGGGGGTTATCGAGCTTCTTATTTTTGCTATCTCCAAATCCTTCAAATCTTGACCTGCCATCTATTACACTACCAACTGCTTAGCTACCTGAATTCTAAAGAAAGTTCAACAACAATACATACGCAAGCGTGTGAGCAAGAACTCTATATTTTTATTTCAGTTTATATTTTTCTAAAAAAAAACTCATGCAAATGCATGACTAACTTTGCTGTACGATTGTCGGCTATGGAATCACGATCGTGGAAGTCAGTGACCGCGCATACGGTCATTTCTTGTGCTTCCGATAGCGATCCCAAGAAACGGCACATTTTTTGAGCATTTCTGAACGCTGCCTTCTTATCAACAACACAATCACCGGAAGTTTGCCGGCTTAAAATGATAGCGCCTTTGATACTACTCTGAAAGCAATTTTTTCCTTTTAGCGAGTCCAATAAGCCTTCCTTACACAGAGCCAGTTTTATACAAAAATAAGCAATAATTTAAAAAAAGAAAAAACTTTTACTCAGTTTGGTACTTATTTTGGCTAAGGAGTGCTGTTGATAGAGGCTGGGTGTGACGACACCTCGAAAGGGCTAAAACCTTAGTGATCTGGTTGTCTTTTAAGATGACAAGATGAACATCAGGATCACTGGCAAGGGAGAAATAGCGTTGGTCACAGTAAATGTGGAGGCGCAAGAGATGTCGGTTGCAGAGGTGGAGAACCACACAGTGGTTTTCCAGCTATTCTAAGCACTTCAGCTTAAAAAACCTCCCATATAAAAGAGAAAAAGTCAAATTCTACGTTTTTACTTCATTGCTTATACAGGTGTAAATGATAGTAGTGATATTAATAACAAATGCAGCAGTAATAAAAATAATAGTAGTAATTGTACATGCAACAAATGTAGATGAACGAAAAAGAGGAGTACAATGACAAACTCAAGCTGGAACGTACCAACCTTGCTGGTGTGATGAGGCGTACGTTTTTGCATTGCACAGATGCAAAAAATGCAAAAGAACTTTAATGGCAAATTTACGATTTCATCTAGAAAATACAGTATTTTAAAAGGGACCTTATTCTTCCATTCAAAAATTTCCTCGAATAATTCTTTGTTCGCTTCAGCGTTGTCAGAAAACAGCTCGAGATAGTAACTAAAAATACAGTGCATAAATCTGTTCCATTTGGATCCTTGTTCACTGTAAGTTCTACCAGCTCATGCGTCCTTCTCGATTTTCATTCTCATTATCTTTCGATTCCTCTCACTGAGTCAGATGGTTATTCAAAAATCAAATGCTCGAGAGTTTGCAGGCAGGTGATAAACTGAGAATAATAATATTTTAAAAAAGTATTAGCAAAACCAAATTAGTTTGCACTAGTTGATTGAAGGATTCGACTTCTCTATCTTCGCTAAAATTTGAAAGTAAACGTATGAGCAATCCTTCTCAAAGGTCAAGCTGTCATGCAAATTAAACGATTTTAAATAGTAGGGAATGAAATTTTACTATGCCCTAAACGGTGATAAGAAGGCTGCTTTGAAAATGATATCTCCTCCCTTGCATCGCTGACAGCCAAATACAATGGACCTTTCATATCCATTGTTCACAAAAGTTGGAAGCACCCGGAGTTAATATGAGGGTAGCAAGTGTCAACAGCAATGATCGGTTGATAAGGTAGTCGATGACTCCTTATTATGAGTTTTTTGCAGCTATGCAATGCAAAAAAGGCATACTGACGACAGGTTGTCTATGTGTCCGTGTGCCTGTATTTGCGTCTGTACCGTTTCATCTCAAGACCTATAAAAGCCACAGAACTGAAACTTAGGGAACTTAATCTGCATGCACGTTCGGGTCCCAATTTCCAAAATGGGCGCCCTTACCCGCGTGGCATCCATGTACGAGCCCACCAAAGTTTTTTATGGGTAAACTGCTAACTCGGGAACCAGAAATGATGGAAGGCTGAAATTTTAAGGGAGTTTCCCTATCCAAGTTTATTAGCAATATATAGCTCCTGATAGTGGTTTCTCCTCTGGGGTTCCTTACAAGAATATGGTTGAAAGTATGAGTCACTTCTCGGCATGCTAAATATACCAGCATCGATTTGCCAACGAAATGAAGAGCAGATCGCGTGGGAACTGAAGTTTTACAAGGAGGTCAAGCTCAATGCACTGAGATCGAATACCAAATTAGCCTGGAGCAACATTCTGCAAAATTACAGAATAAATGTGCTTACTTAAGACCTGCGGTTGAAAAGGTGGCCACCTTTACTGCAATGGCTGGATTACTTTCGAGCGCCTTGGGCAGCAGAAAGCCATTAGTGCCATCCATCTGCAACATTTTAACTGCCCGACGTAAGAGGCCATTAACACGTGTACCTGCAAATGAGAACACTTAAGAAATAAATATCGTCGCGCGCCAGGGCAACTGGTGTGATCATGCTTTATGTGCAATCTTGTTCAGTGAACATCTGTACAATTTTGTCCGACGGACGCTTTTGCACCCCTATCGAGCTGACGCTTGTGCAGCTCTGTTCAAAGGAACTTCGTTATTAAACGTTTGCGCTACGTTACTCTTTGATACGTCACGTGCTAATTTCAGCACCAAAACTTCACTGTTCGTGGTTCCCGATTTATTAATTTTGGCACCAGAACATTCACGTATCCATACCTAAGATTGAGGCATTGAATTTGTACATGGGCAAAAGCAGAAATTACAGCTTCTTTGTTTTCATGATTCCCGAATAATTGATTTTGGTGCTCAAAAATTTCACGTGCCCCTATGGGCAATTCAGGCGTGCGAGAAAAATGAATTTCAGTTTGCGGGATCATTTGTGGACAAGGGCCGTCTTTCTGAATTTCTGGCCTCCCAGCTTTCTTGGTTTCTGGGTTGTAAATCTTGGTGACAAAAAAAAAAAATTTCACGTATCCTTACATGAGATACAGTCATGCGAAGGACTGGTTTCATTGTTACGATGTCGTGCGCAGACAGGGAATATTCTCTTAAAATTTCAGCTTCTTACTTTTTGTGCTTCCCGAATTACTAATTTAGGTGCTAAAACTTTCTCGTGGCCGTACTTGAAACCTAGGTGTGGGCGCTGAATTCAAGTCTGCAATATCACAAGCAAGTAGAAGGATCTTCTCTCACAATTCCAACTTCCTAGCTTCTCTGGTTCCCGAGCTGAAGCCCCCTGATAAAATGCACACACACACACATGCATACATTCATGTATGCACACACACGCACACACTCACAGTGTCTCGACGAAATGCTTTTTGTGCAACTGTTGTAGCACGAAACGCATAATAGGGAAGCAGATTCAGAACGGACTATTCTAAGGCTCTTGTAATCTGGAAGTAAGAAGGCCCCTTTTTGGATTATTTCAGAAACGATGACCTTTGTTTGCTATAGCCTAATTGTTGTTTTCTGCAGAAAAACCCAGGCTGCAACGCACCGGGCGGGCCCGCACGATCATGAGTTTCTGTACCGGACTTAATGTCACTGGTCATTAACTGCATGAATGGTTGTTGCCTTGCACCTACTTTTTGCGGTCACTAGCAAAACTACCATAAATTTTGCATAAAGTAAATGTAAAATTTTCATTTAATGGCCGTTCTTAAAAGTGACCTAGCTGTTCAGCGAGAAATTTTCCGCCAAAACTTTTATGTACCCGTACGTAAAAAACCACGCATACCTCAGCGCTGAATTTGGAATACCTAAATTGTAGACCACGCATACCTAAAGGCTGAAATAGAAATACTTAATTTGTACTTAGGCAGAGAGAATTCCTCTCAAATTTCAGCTTTCTAGCTTTCCTGGTTCTCGAGTCAGTAATTTTTTAGCCAAACTTGCACATGCCCTTACGTGAGTACCACACATACCTGGGGGCTGAATTTCAAATCTTTAGCTAACATTTGCACAGGGAATATTCCTGCAAAGTTTCAACTCCTTATGTTTTCTGGTTCCTAAGCTCGCTTCCCCGCTAAAAAATTTGCATATTTTTTTAAAGGGTCCGCACACGACACCCAGGCGTCCACGGAGGATGATCTTAAAACGGGAGGTCGCGCATGGTATGGGCACATATTCCCAAAGTTTCAGCCTTCTGTCGTTTCTCGTTCCCGAGTTATCAGTTTTCTCGCCAAAACTTTCACCCCCTCGTACGCAGAGCCCAGACTGCGTGAGGGATGGCACCGTGGTGCTGGGGTGGTACTTGGCCGGGGTATCCACTAGCAAAATCTCGGCGCTGAATATTGCTTGGTTGTCGAGTTGAAATATGCGGACAGACGAATATACACACATGCAAACATACACACACATACACGCACAGGCAGGGTCGTCGCAATATGCGTTTTTGCAATTTGCATATAGGCAAAAACGCACAAAAACGCATATTGTGATGGCCGACGGTGTGCGCGTGCTTGTTTCTATATGTGTTTGTTTGTTTGTGTGAACATGCGTCTATCCAGGTATTTCAACTCGGCAATCGCACAAGCTTCGACATTAGTTGCTCGACCATTTGTGACTCCAGGAACGCAGTAACCAACATTCATTCGCGCCTGAAACTCGCGCGCGGACATGTGAAAGTTTTGGCAAGAAAATTAAGTCAAGAACTGGGAAAGCTGGAGGCTGAAAGGAAGATGCCTCGCCCAGATACAACTTAAACTTTTCAAATTCAGCACCCAGATGTGTATGGTTCTCAAGCGCGAGCCTCTGAAAATTTTTAGTGGTATTGCTAACTCGGGAACTGCAGAAGCTGGACTGTTGGAATTTTAAGGGGTATTCCCTGTCCAAGTACAAAGTAAGGACTTCAAAATCGGCTTCAGGCATGCGTGATCCTCACGTACGGGACTCAAAAATTTTGGCGTGAAAAGTGCTCACTGAACAGCTAAGTCATTTTTTCCAAAGCGATCGCTAAATGGAAACTGCTCGTTTTGCTTTATGCAAAATTTACGATGATGTACTCTAGTGAGCGCATTAGATAAGTATGAAGCAGCAACTATTTACATAGTAAGCGACCCGGCTGCTTCAAATTTACCACAAAAACCGCGAACAGGATTACATTTTATTCTAATTCATCTAAAGTAGCAATCTGTTATCGACTAAATTTGCATTAAAAAGTGGACAAATTATTAAACAAATACTAGTTGTTGAAGGGCTCGCGAAGAAGTATGGGCAACGGGTTTTTCCAAACCGCAACATTGGATTCGCACAATTCGGCACCGAATCGGTCAGAAAACATAATGGTTTTTTGAAGATTAGTCCACGTACTGGTTGCCAGCATTGATTCTAAAAATTTTTTCACATTTGAAAAATTTTGATTAATCCAAAAGATCTACCAAAGAGCCATATATAATTATTCATATAATAAACTGATCGTGCGGCAGATCAAAGGTTTGACTTTACCGATGAAGCAACCTGTGCGGTTCGTTCATTTTCGATGGCAAATTGGTGCTGATGTATAAGAATAAGTTTTTAAACGTCCGAAAAAGGTCAACTATAAGCAGCTTTGCAGGTGAATAATTGCACTTGCCATTTGCTATTCGGGCAACTTTTTGAGTGGTTTCATCTATCGTGGAGAGCAAATAGGAAAGGAGTTTTGCCTTCTAACAATCCTTGCTACTTTAACAGTATTTTGTACTTCACTTCTTGTGCAGCTAACCTTTAAAATAATTTAGAACCGTTTTTCTTTTCCCCTTCCTCTTCGTCCTCCTCAACTGTAGTTCTTTGAATGGCTATATTGTGCCACTGATGATTTACTTTCAATTCCAGCACGCATGTCTACCACTTTTGCTCTGCCATTTATGAATGAGGTAAAGTGAATTTAACCTTCCGAGGGCAGTTATTGCATATCAAGAAGAATTTCCAATCCTCCGTGGACATATTAGTACCGCCCCGTAAATAAACTATCTTGTCTGCATAGCGATTCTTCAGCACTTGGTATCCTTCATTTCTCCACGCCTTACACACCCTGGAAAAGAAATGCTTTTCAGCAAAAAGCAACGTTGGATAGGAATATGTATAAATATATATGTATATATACATATATATATATATACACATACATAAAGGATAAGTGGGCATAAAGGTATATGCTCGGCTTCGTGGACCGAAATGTCCCTCAATAATTTTTTTGTTTTAATTTCCACTAAAAAACCAGCTTTCTTTTTCTCTTCTTTAAAGAATTTTCAGTCGACTATCTCTGGTATGATTCTTTGCATAATTTTTTTTTTATAAAAATTTTTGTAATGTCCCATAATTATTGTTCTTGTTTGTTCAGATGAGCTTGCCGAGAATGTTTTGTTTGTAGCCAGGTCCTGCGAATTTCTTAGCTCGAAGAAAATGCTTTTGCCTGCAGTAAAGCGGAAAAGGGATAGTTTCAAAGCAGGGGCTAAATGATTTAAAGAATCCAAGTTTTGTCGTGATTTATTCAGAAGCTTAAAATTTTGTTTCAGCAGACTGATACAGGGTATAAAGAGTACAACAACCAAATGATTAGTGGGAATTTTCAAGAGATGAGTTGGTGTTTGATTTTTGATTTGCATTTTTCAATAAGATTAACTGCCAGAAATCTTCCCCTCCCTCCCCCCGCCCCTTAATTTCTTGCATTAGGTAAGTCTTTCTTTACATCATTTCATCCAGAATTAGTTAATAATAGTAAATAAATTGTATAATAAAAACAGATCTGGGATTGGCTATGAGACAGTTATCGCGGCAAGCCAGCCGGAAATGAAGCGTGCGCTGCAGAAGACTGCACCGTTGGGTAATGTAGGATACACACAGATCGCAGGTGCCCCAAGGAGTACAGCAGGATAGTGCCTAGTATGCTGCGCCGGGATGATAAAAGTTTGATTAAATACCGTCCCCCTCCCCTCCCCCGCCCTACACTTTCGAAGGAGTGGTTAAATTCCTTCCCGGGACTGCTAAAAAGGGTCGAGAAGCAGGGTTTTCAGAGAGAGGAAGAATTTACTGTTGTAAAAGAAAAAATAAAATTGCGAGCAGCCTTGCTAATGAATAATTAATTAATGTTGGCATTTGCTATCGTTGGAATTCTAAGAATCTTCGGTTTACTTGCGAGAGGGATTTTGAGTCTTGACTGTCTAACATACAAATGTAATTATGAAATCCTTGGAAAGGTTATTTAATTGCTATTATCACTCTCGCTCTTCCAAGTTCCTCTGTCCTTTCTATGCGAAGGTTTTGAGATATTATTTTCGCGTAAAAATCCAAGCTAGAGAGTTAGGAGTTACGTTACCAGTATATACATCAATAAGGTTTGGAAATGGCAAAATTTGGGACGAGGTGAAGCTTAATATACACCAAGGGATCTCCAATTAATTAACGCTTTGCTAAGTGCTTCAGTTAAGGAAACCGTTAAACTGATAACTTCCTCGCGAAACACGACGAATACAGGATGGTCAGCAGACTGACTCGATGACAGCATCGGTCAGCTCGACTTGCATAAACTGCCAGTTATATATCTAGAGAATCAGATTACGAATCAGAGCTGAACCAGTTATTGAATGTAAATATAAACTTACCGCATGGCACTGTATTGGCCCAAACAACTGCAAATTTGTGGAGCTGCTTTCTTGTGCCATAACCTCTTTTTTAAAGCAGGTGACTTTAAAACAGGTGACTGTGTGACTAGCGAACTATCGTTTGGTATGCCTAAATACAATCGAAAGGTAAAAAATTTGAATACTATGCCAAAAAAATCAAAAAAAAAATTATTTATTCTGTTTTTTTTTATAGGCTGGATCTGTAATGCCGTATACATGCAGTCAAGATAAAAAAAAAATTGATTAAAAATTCATGAATATTATGAAACTGTTAAAACATCTCTACTTTTTTGTAAAGAACGCAAAAATTTACAAATGCCTTCAAGATCTTTGAGCTCGACATCTTCCGTCCTTAACGCTAATTAACTTACCATCTCAGTTTTCCAACTTTTGTAGCCCTGTATATACTTCTGCTACATTTGGGGCTATTAGCAGTCTGCTAATGTGAGTCTTTCCGCAGCATACAATGTTATCGGTTAGGAACCAGGTTCATCATGTACTGTCCCCTACGAAAAAGAAAAGATGGGCCGCACTAGGATTTTTGGCATTAGAAAACGGACCGAAGATTTTCTTTCTGAAATTTTTGGCAGATTTCGTGCTGGCATTTCAGGAGAAGTAGCCTGTTTAGTTTCTACAGAATATTACGTCAAACTATTAGTCTGTCGCAGCTTACAAAAATAATCTAAGCCCTCCTCCCTCATTTACTTTTTGTGAGAGGTGAAGAGGAACTGAAATAGTTCAAGGATGACAGCAGTCAATAGCAGTTATTCGCTGGCAGATTGTCGAAGGTTCCATCTTCCAAGAGTTACTTAGAATTAAGCTGAGAGTAATTTTGACTCCCTGGCACAACGTGCCAGCGCCAGTTTATTGTCGATATGAATGAATGGATCATAGAGGGATTGGCTTCCTCACGAAAAGAGTAGAATTCTCAACCTACGACAACAGTACTGGTTTTCCATGCACCATGCTCGCCAATGAATTTGTACTGCAATAAATTGAAATACTAAAAAATTGCCAGAAGGAGATGAAAAAATCGGTCCTGCATTCGCAAAAGCTGCAACTGATGTCAACACCAGAATCAGCGCCATCTGGAGCACTGCGCTTTTGCGATTGCTGTCAAAATGAAATCCTGAAAAACTGAAATTTCGTAAACGGCTCATGAGTGCCCCACATAAATTTTTAAACTTCCATGAAAGTCGAGATCCTCCAAACAATTTTATTTCGCCGCATAGTGCTTGTCTGGTGATAACTTTTCAAGACTTAAAATTTAATTTCAAGTTTTTTACTCATCAGATTTTGTAGGCATATGAATTCTTTTGTGATTTTTGCACTAGTTTATGCGAACTCTATAAAACCCTTGCCGCTTCTAGAAGCAGCTTTCATTTGAAACAGT